TTAATAGTGTTCCTCAGCCGAAGTAAATCACAATGATATCTTTGTCCGCAGGGAATATGTAATTTACACGTTATTTCGTAATCATATAGCTCAGGAAAGAAATAAGTACCAGGTGTATCGTGACTAAATTATTACTTATTTGCTGATAAATCAAGTTCCATTTTTTAAATTTTTTCTTTTGATATGTTGCATTCACCCTTTCGGGCCCATGGACAAACAGACTCCGCATCTTTAGCTGGAAACGCTGGGCAGTCTGCTCCACTTTTTCTGCATCTCTAACCCCCCACAGGGGATGCAAGAGGTACCCAGCCTACCGGGAAGAAGGTTGCTGGTTCGATCCCCTACCATCCTCTACCACGACGCTTCACTGTAGTTTTTTTTTGGTGCTATCTTTGTGATGGCGATTAATATCAAATTCTTCTATGCCGCAATTATCACAGCAGAAAACGTTCAGTTGTCTAACACCTCTCTACTTCTTGGTACAAAACGTAAATCCATGGGTAATAGAGCATATCTAACATTTGTTGCCTTTCTATCAACGATATTGTGTGAGATATGGGTGATATGCTTTCAGTGATTTTATCACATTGTATTGGAAGCAGAAACATAATACCTGAAAAAAAAAAACGATGGAACGTCGTGGTAGGGAACTGGATCATCAACCTTCTTCCCAATGAACGGATGCCGAGCGCCAGAGAGGAGTGGGACAGACAGTGATTCTGACGCTGGGGTTAGAGATGCAGAGGAGTTTGAGCAAGCCGCCCAGCGTTCCCATCTAGGGCGCAGAGGCCGTGGGTCTATAGTCCCGAAAGAGTTTAGATTGAAGTAAATGCTCTTCCTTCGGAGTACTTATATTTGTGAAGATGATCCTGTAATCCAGTGATAACGTTCTGATCTCAGCAGATCTTAGTAGTCACCAGCTAAGTAACATGCTACCTTTGAAAGTGATGTTCACGAATAATCGACAAATTTCCTGAATTATCCTTCTTCCACGAGGTTGTTATGAAATTTGCTGAATGAAGTTTTTTAAAAACTTTGAACAAGTTCTTGAACACTCTAATATCAGGTCGTTCCATAACTTTTGGCACTAGAATAATAAACACCAAATTTATCAACCAAAAGTAATTAAAATTTCGTGATTTTGGTATTGTACAATTGCCATCTTCTTGCGAACGTTTTGGTATACAACTTCCCTTTACTTCCTTCAAATGGATCTGTCGTGGGAACAAATTTGGTTGTTATTCATGCACGATTGGCGCATAGGGGGAAAATGCTGGTGAAGCAGCGCGCAAGATTTATGGAGCTTTCTGTGGACGGCCCGAGTGAGACTGATCCTCCAAACTGTTCACTCTAACTTCAACTCCGCAAACATCTAGCCATCCCTTCTGCCACCGTGTCATCGCTCCAAGCTCTATCAATCGTGCGTACTGATTTACTAGCATTTCCCCTACGTGCCATTCGTGCATGAGTAGCAAGCCCATTTGTTCCCACGACAGCTCTATCCTGGAGCAAGCATTGGCAAGCTGTGCCAAGGTGTTCACAAGAAAATGCGCAGTTGAAAGATACTAAAGCCATGCAATTTTAATTACTTCTGCTCAATAAGCTTGGTGTCTATTGCTCTAGTGCCAAAACTTATAAAACGGTCTATGAATATCTTGTTCTCTAATTTTTCTTCAACACAAACTATTGAAAATGATGAGATGTATTTAGAAGAACGAAAATCTGGCTTCTCAGAATCTCTCATGGAGCTCTCTAATAGACGTTAGAAAATGCTGTGTTCTCGACTATTCTATCGAAAACTACAAAACAAAGATGCAAGGAAGTGGTCATTCACTGCAGGTTCAACGGACTCACCTTGTATACTAGGTTATGCTTCAATTTATTTGCCATTTCAATACCCTGTACTTCAAATTATATTTTCGAGAATAGTGACTTTACTTGGCTGATAATGTGCAAGGCGTCTGATGAGTAGCACTAGTGAAAAGAAATCCTTTTGATCAACCGCTTTTAGAGGTGGTAGGAGTTATATAATAGCCAGTAATATTGAATGATGCGCAAAGCTCTGACGTCAGGCGGGATTCGAACTGCATTTCACCCATTTCGGGGCACCCAGTTGCATTACCGACTCCTGTTTTGCAACCACTCTTTCCACGTTACAACTTCTGAAACAGTTTCTTCAACTACTGATATCATCTCCCAGAGTATGGTTAGTTTTTTAGAAATGCGCGTTAGCGCTTCCAGTTGTCGCTTCCGCTTGTTTATGAAGGATGAAGTTGTACCAAGGCACAAAAGTATACTACCAAATGTGCATTTAATTTCAGGTCAGTTTAGGAAATTCGTCTAGATTTTTCGAAGGTTCATTCTTCGTTTTCAAGACAATTTTATGAAATTTGACTAACGTAGTTCTATACGACACTTGAATTTTTGCTAATTCGCTTAGTAGCTCAAGCGGACATCACCAAGTATTCATTAGAGTGAGCTTGGAAGGCCCAGAAATTTGCCACGCTTGTCTTGTGAAGCTAGTGGAAGCTAATCGTTCGAATCCATGTTTACTTCCTAGAGAAAGTATACATTCATTTTTGGTTTGCATCAAGGTACATGCCAAAAGCCACCGCGTTGCCTCGCACGAACCACCATATATAGATTGTGTTGTATTAGAAAATTAATGAATGCCGTCTATTAAAACATTTTATTATTGGCAAAATGTTTTTTGTTACAGAGGTGACGCCACAGGGAGAAGAAAAATTTCTAGCGACACCATCGTCAGACTCCACTACCCTACTGGAAAAACCTCGGCTTATGAAGGATGCGTATCGCGTTGAAATCAAAGAGGTTTTTTTTTGATAGTAAAATTGGTAAAACTTAGAGAACAAAGCTTTTGGCGTTGGCAAATCTTTGAGGTATGCGCCATACATTAGACTCAATAAAGCATCGTAAGAAGTAATCGAGTACATATGTTAGCCCACACAATGACTCGCGGTGGCCTAACGATGTGTCACGTTAGTGCAGCTGTACATCCAGCCACGTTTGATACCAACCTACATGGATGGAAGGATTGATGAGACTGGAGTGTCGATTTAACCAATGTCCTTGTATGGAAGAGCACCTTATGATTGCGCTGCACGATCCCCCAGTGTTAAATTACCTAGAAAAATACACAATAATGTGAAATACGAAGCTTAATAGGGGATGACTACTTGAATAGAAGATAAAAGGATAAGGGATAAAGCTCTCGGCGTTGATCAATCCCTGAGGGATGTGCCATGCATTCGTGTTTAATTTTTAGCTTCGTTTGAGGTGAATAAATGCATATCTGGCATTTATAATGACTCGCGGTGCCCTCCCGATGAGCCGAGTCAGTGCTGCTTATCCTCCTAGACAAGTCTAAGACCAGTCTGGTACCAGTTTACCGCCCCCGGAGGGATGAATTTCTTAGTGAGCCATGAGCGCGAGGTCGAACCATTGACCTCGTGTGCGACGCAGAGCACCTTTAACCACTGCGCCGCATGTGCTCGAGCAGAAGATAAGTGGTGGATTTTTTATCGTTCTCCAATAGGCACATTATATGTGGTTTCATTACTCACAAACATTCAATATCTTCCGACCACTTCTGCTAAGTTTTGGTTTTTCACAATAAGAGCAGAAAAAAAACTTGAAAACTTTGAAAGGTTTGATAAACTATCCATGGATGCACTATACATTCAACTCCCTTCGCAACATGAAAGGACTGATGAATGCAGACTCGGTCTATACAACACGTTTTGGAATTCTCCCAATGTACCAACTCGTTATCCTTCATTTAGGCAAATCTAATGCCAACTTTTCGGTCCCTGGAAGAGCAGAGAGTTTGGTTAAACCAGGGCGAAGAGTGGAACGAAAAATAAACCGTTTGTTGCACGTCACCTCTGTATTCTTTGAATTGGCCAATTTGTATTAGTAGAGATTAGCGAATAGCAGAGTTCGGGTTCGATACAGAAGGCCAGTGCACCAAATTCAGTATAATTCAGAGTTTCGGGAATCCCCAGCTCAGAATAATTACTACGACGAAATAGAATGCTCGCTTTTTACACGAGGCTGCCACGCGAAACTCATTAACCTAGGTATGAAGAACAATCACACACTTGGATTTTAACTGTTTATGACAATAAAAAAGTGTAATATGAGCTATGTGGCGATATAAAATTGAGTGAATAGGCACGAATGAAGTTGGGGCAACACTGGAACACTGGAACACAGGAACTCTGGAACTCTGGAAGCTCCGGTACATATTGGAGTCAGGCCTACATAGGGCCGATGACAAAGGTTTCGTCCACTGAAACACCAAGTCAAGGGAAAGTAAAAGCCGTATAGCTCTTAAAAAGTGTGAGCACAAAAGATTACAAGCGCGCCTCTAGTGGGAGAAAGTTCAGAGCGCCAAAAAGTTACAAGTGCACATTTTGACGGGAAAGAAATAAAACAGTCTGTAGTAGAAGTGCATGTGAAAGCGATGCTATTGCGTCAAAGAAAAATTCATGGGAAAGCAATGAGTTAGTATGTGGTAAATGTTGTTGTGAAACTATATGACAGCTTGATTGTAAGTTTAAGTATATTCAATTAAGAAAGAATAGATGTTTGGTAATCACAATTAATAGTTAATCTAGGAAGCTCACGACAATGTAAGAATAGGAACTATTCGGGGAACATATCCAGTAACGTAGGGTGATCTGTAAAACTGGGCCATTTGGGCCTCGAACCCACATTTCACACAATCCGAGGTCGCGTGCTCTAACCCGCTGCACTACTGACTCCCGTTTCCACACACCACTCTTTCTACACTACAGCGCACTTATCTGCCAGCAAACAACCGTCAACGGTTTGGCCTGGGTAGTCGGTATCAACGTTGAATCCAGTCACGTTGACTGATATTGTGTATTAGATGATCAGATCGGATTCTCTAATCGCTTTTAATGAGGTATGATGCTGTAATATATCGAGTGAAGTAGGATGATGTGCAAAACTTTTGCGTCAATTGGGACTCGAACCCATGTTTCACCCTATCCGAGGGCGCGCGCTCAAACCGTTGCACTACCGACGCCTGTTTCGACACCACTATTGCTACGTTACAACGCAAGATTGGTGTCAAAACAGCGTCGGTAGTGCAACGTTCAAATACGCGCCCCCGGATGGCGTGAAATGCGGATTCGAGTCTTAGTTGAAGCCAAAGTTTTGCACATCATCATACTTCACTGGGTTTACTATAACATCATACCACCGCTAAAAACGGTTTAAACAAAAATAATTTCAAATGATTTTTCGGGAAATAATTACTGGAACTTCCAACTGTTGCGCACTGTAATATGATTCACATTGAAAAACGACTGGCGACACGAGCTAATGAAAAATTATGTGTTAACATATATTTTTCCAGGCTGAATCGATTTCCTCATGGAAGACCGTATGTTCAACCTCACTCAAAAAAGACTTTTACACCTTCGGTGGCTTCAAGCCAGGAACAAAATATGTAGTGACGATTTATGCTGCAACCCCTTCGGATAGAAATTTTCCATTAAAAGAAAGCCGCTCTCTTCCACAAGAACCGATCCAAGGTTTGTCAAATGAAAAGTCTCTCCTTTAGAGAAGAAAAATCTAAAGACATTTAGAGATCGGATTTTTTAAGAGTTGATAATGATGATATAAATCTTAGAGTAATTGGAGCAGTAATAAATTCAATTTTGAACGCTAAACTAATGTTTTTTATCTCTCGGTAGTTTGTGAATGCTCAATTACTTTTTATGGATTTGAACAATCTAGTAATTTCAGTTCAAAAAAATTTCACAAATATCACTTTACCTGAAGATTCCATGGTTACCAAGCGTTTTTGAGGTAAGGTTATTTTCGAAGTTTGACCATTGTCACTGGGTGAAATGCACTGATTCAAAACGTATCCATTCGTCTTCTTTCGTTATGACTATTTCTGTCTGCCACTCTTTGATATTCAGGAAATTTTCTTCGGAAAATGGCATGACACTGAGACAAATGACTTTATCTCCTCTCTCTCTGTCACTAAAATAAATGAGGATAACCACGAATACTACGAGGCAAGTACTTACTAGTTCCGGTTTCAGATCTTATAAAAACTTTCAGCACCACGCTTTGTTAGACGCTTGATTGAAACTTATTCAGTCACTTGATTCTTTGAAATTTCGATGAGGCAGAAACTTATGGGGCTCACACAATCGCGCGATAGCTTATTAAAAATCGTATATGCGCATCTAGAAATACTGAATGAAAGTCCTGAATTTTTCGCATCAACGCAAGAATGGTTTCTTCAAAATATTGTTTTCTTCCTCTAATATTTATTGTAATCCAAGTTGTCTATTTGTTTCAACTGACTGAGAACCGTTCTTGTCGTAAATACTAACTGTGCTATGTGATTACATCTACAAAACAATTCCGTGAGAGCGAAACTTATTCCATCAATTGGAAAAAAATCCGGAATTTTTAGAAAGGATTTCAAGAAGTCGAGTAGAACTTTCTTAACAGCTTTTGATGCACTTTCATGCCAATCACATATTGTGACAATGGTTCATTGGAGTAGACGCATGTGTAATTTCAACAAAAACTATCCATCAAAGTGAAATCATTTTTTATTTGACCGCCTTGCGGTGTTATGATGTTACTATAGACCCAAAGATGATGAAGAGTGGTGTGCAAAAACGCTTGCGTCAGCAGGGATTTGAACCCAGATCCAACTCTTTCCGGGAGTATGTGCTAAACCTGATAATCATTATTTGAGCCACGCATGTCAGTGGTCTGTTAATGAGGGCTGACTTATAGAGCCCGATACACGTGTTTCGATCTTGCGATCTCGTCAGTCGGGCAGTTACCCGTTCTCGTCTTTTGCTAATCTCTGTGGGTGCTCCAGTCCCCACAATAAGAATTAGCGACGACGTATGTTTTACACTCTGTGTTCAGTGAAGAACTCACCAAACACAGAGTTTTTTTACACTCGAATGCTCGTGGCTAGTATATTTAATATAACATATCCTTCATTTCGAGTGTTTTCTTAAGACCACAGCTCAAATTACAATATGCCTGATAATCATTATTTGAGCCACGCATGTCAGTGGTCTGTTAATGAGGGCTGACTTATAGAGCCCGATACACGTGTTTCGATCTTGCGATCTCGTCAGTCGGGCAGTTACCCGTTCTCGTCTTTTGCTAATCTCTGTGGGTGCTCCAGTCCCCCACAATAAGAGTTAGCGACGACGTATGTTTTACACTCTGTGTTCAGTGAAGAACTCACCAAACACAGAGTTTTTTACACTCGAATGCTCGTGGCTAGTATATTTAATATAACATATCCTTCATTTCGAGTGTTTTCTTAAGACCACAGCTCAAATTACAATATGCCTGATAATCATTATTTGAGCCACGCATGTCAGTGGTCTGTTAATGAGGGCTGACACGTGTATCGGGCTCTATAAGTCAGCCCTCATTAACAGACCACTGACATGCGTGGCTCAAATAATGATTATCAGGCATATTGTAATTTGAGCTGTGGTCTTAAGAAAACACTCGAAATGAAGGATATATGTGCTAAACCGTTGCACCACCGACGCTCGTTTCGCACTCCACTCTTTCCATTTCGCAATCCATCAAACTAATTTCTAAGAATGTTAGAACCTTACCCCGAGGTTGGTGCAACAAGGTCATACATCGGTGTTTCGGAGGTCTCGACCTCCTCGTCAGTGACCTACGCCCCACATTAAGCCCTGCATTGTAGCAAGTAGGGCGGCGTAAGTGGTGACGGAAGAGTGTACGATGACACTGTGCCACCAAACCATTCCATAACATCCAATCGCAATGTCGACTTGAAATTAGTATTCATTGAGTGAGTAATTAGTAATGAGTAAAGACTCGGATAACCAATTCTTAAGATTGTGAGGTCCAGAATGAGGGAAAAGAGGTTATACAGAGATCAAGGGGTAAGAAAATGGTCTGAAAGAGCAGTAAATATCACACTTATGTACACTATAGTGTACACATGGTACAGAATGGGTTTGAAGTTTGAACGTCACATCACTAATCTTTCAGACTAATCTGCAAAGTATCTTCGATGTTTCTGAACAGGGATTTTTACTAAATGTCAATCCATTTCCACCGGAACTCATCCAATCCGATCGTTGCCCCAATGTGCTCATCCATGGCAAAGGCGATACTGTCAAACTCCGTCTATCTCTCTCAGGTGCGGAATAAGTCAACAGTTGCAATTTTTGTAAAAAAATTGAGTTAATCATAGGCAGCAATTATGGTAGCAGCGATATTGATAATGATTAATTGGATAATGAAGAAGATGAGCGATCTTTCACGTATACACCTGGCGGTTACTACTTTGTAGTAACTCAGTAGTGACTTCTGACAACTCACACAATTGCCATGAAGCTGGTATATTAAGATAGACAACAGTGCCTCAATCAATATAGCGGTTTAATTAACTAGTTTAGATCTTTACTAATTTTTTTAAACATATTTTGCTCTTTCGCATCAACCACATACGTAATTATTACTCGCTGACTGCCCTTTCGAGTTTTCATACTTTTAGACTGTAAACTCCAAAAAATTTTTAAAAAATTCAAAAGTTTCTAGTTTTCTTACACAAAAGTGTACTTGCAAAGGCTAAGGAATGCATTGAGGAACATTATCTTATCCTGATGGTCAAAATTCTAGTTGTTCAATTGCCTTCGTATCCCAAGTATGAACTTTACAACAATAAATTTGACATTCTTTAGAGCATAGATACTTAACTGTAGTAAAAGCAGAAAGCATCTACTACGTGTTGATATGGATTCTAACTGTTCCTATGAAAATTAACAGAATTTACTCTGAGCTGAGACATGCTAGTATAATATCAAAATGGCCGTCATTTCTACTTCCTATGACTCCCATAAGAGGTCACGTAGTCCCAAACGTGTTGAAGAGTAACAAGCATTCCAGGTAATTTCCTATATTAAGACAAACCAAGGTCTTCATACCTTTGTTCTTACCGCTAACGTTTCGGCGGTTCCACTTTCCATTCAGAGCCTGGAAAGATAGGTTGTCCACAAGTCAGCCAAATAGTTTTTTTTTTTCTGTTGGACTAATATTGAAGGATCAGCTGTCAAAATAAATTGTATTAGGATCTCGTGTTTGGCTTACAAAGAAAAAACTGGGAGATACCGAAGATTGCCAGGGTTAATAGATAGGCAGTTTCGGGAATCAAATTTGCTTTGAAATTTCTAGTACCGTCAACGCTTGCCGTCAATCATAATTTAATCGAGTTCTATAAAATATTTTCACTTTATTTCATAAGCTACTTATTTTGAGCTGATACGAGGCCGTCGAGCTATATTTCTAAATCTAAGTGACTAACATGCTTGACAGCTCCGTATCTTCAGATCTGTTCTCTACTGATTTTTCTGACAGTGTGACTATGGATTAGTCCATAATAATAAGATTAACTCAAAGTCAGTCTTTGTATGCTTGAATGCTTAGCCCTCTTTTTTATGTTTGATTACGTAGAGATCTGATCTAATTACCATGTTGTTCGTATGATTCAAATCTTGGGTTTTCCATATTTGCTTCATAATCGTGAAATATACAATATATAAAAAATTTACTCAATTATTCGAAAATCTTTTATACATCTGTATTTGAAAATGTAAATCACAAGGTAATCGAATGAGCTAGCTGTGGCTCTTATAAATGCCAACGAATAAAAGAAAAGGAAAACAACGATATCCCGAAAATCGTCGACCAGAATCTTGCATAGAAAAGAACATTGGAAGTTTGATCAGTGATATGTTATCTATGATATTTGATAGCTGTTTTATTAGGGCATTAGTGAAAGCTGAACAATTAGAAGGCCTAAAACGTTTCTAATTGGATAAGTGAATAGAACTTCGAAACTCAAATATGCTTCCTTTCTCTGCTTTACTGGAGTTACTGAAGAGCGAAAAGAAAACTTACATCGCTCCATACTGATGAATACACGTATTCTGTTGTAGAGAACTATACCATATAGTGAAAAAAGGAAAGAATAGTACACAGTGAGGC